CCCCAAAACCCCAAAACCCCCATAAGGAAAAGATAATTTTATAGAAGTTTTAAATTAACTTAAATTTAAATTAAAAATGAACAATCTAGCGGAATAATTATACATGCATTTGCAAAGTCTCGGTAACTATAAGTACTTTATCATGATTTAATTTAGGGTTCCAATAGCAAATTGATGTAAATGAGCTCGCCATTATTCTTGATAAAGATGCTAAGTCTCGTGCTCTATTTGAATTCTTGATTGGCAATATTGGCACAGAGTCAATATTAACTACATAAGATTTGGGTGATCTTTAAGAGTATCATTTATCTATGAATATTTTTTCTTTAGGATATAAAATTTTGAGAAGAAGAGCTATGAGAACATATACAATGATATTTAAAGAAATTAAATTATAAGAGTCCTAGATTAAGAACCTGACACTAATCTATAAATTAAAGAGCTTGAAAATGAGATAATGATATTGGATGCATAAACTGAATTAATCACTAATAAAATGGAGAGCTAAAACAATAGAGAGAGTTTAGCTGGCAATAAAAATGATTAGTAACAAATGATTGACTAGATTATCAGAGAACAAGGAATAAAAGTTAATGACGCATGTGAATAGGTTGAGTTAGAGACTCTAGAGATCCAGGAATTCTCTTCTAAATTTATTGATGAATACATAAGTCTATCTTAACAAGAATAAACCTAGCACTAGTAATATGTCTTGAAAGCATTACTAGAATAGAATAAAGATAAAATATTAGTATAGACTTTGAACAATGTATCATATCAACTAGACAACTATCTCAAAGAAAATCAAGAATGGATTAGTGAAATACTTAATCAACTTAGAGTGAACACTTAGAATAGAGTAGATATCCAACAATTAAGGTAAGACTCTGAGTAAAATGATAGTGATGAGATAGAGTAAATTGAATTAGAGAAGAAATCTTTGCTGTCTGAAATGGAGCTATGTCATAATTAGCTATTCAAGGTGTGGAAGGATAATCTTACGCATTAAATTAGTTATTAACGTTGGAAATAAACTTTCGAATCTTTAGAAAAACTCAAGAAAACCAAAAAGTCATTTAGTGCCCTCCCTTAAGCAGCTAAATCAGAGGTAGATAATGACAAGTTTGCAATAATATAAGAGCAGTTTAAGGAAACCTTTGAATAAGTACTATTTTAGCATAAAGAACAACTTGATTTGAAGTTTGATATTCTTAACTAAGAGATTATTGCTAAAACAGAATTACTCCAGGACAACTAAGCTGATCAAATTTTGCTTTAAAATATTAAATAAGTAGAGCAGAGGATGACTGAGGTGCAGTCTATTGTTAATCTAGCCTAAATTCTAGTAGAATGGGATTAATATGAAACACAAATTATATTTGATAAGCTTCAAAGATTAGTTGAGTTATGCTAGCAAATTAGTGTGACATAGGAGTAAAAAGAGGGGGATTTAAATGATACACTAAAAGTATATCATGAAATGAATAATGATAGGGCTACTCTAGATGGACGGGATAAGCTCCTTGTGGGAGTTAGTAATTTAATTGAAAAATTTTCACCTGAGTCTAAAACACATAAAGGCAATAAGGACCTGTTTATGTATAAATAAGATTTATTGGACTAAATGGAAGAAATAGCAAGCAAAGAGAGATAACTTAAAGAATAAAATTAAGTTGAAAACATTGATAAAAATCTTATGAGTACAATATATGAGATATTGAAACAGTCAAAATCGTTGAAAAAAGGAGAAATTTTAGGTCATTACATGGCAAGTGATGATTAGTATAAGTTGCTTACTATGCTATTAAACCAACTATAGAGCAATTTAAGCGATTAGAGTAGGATTTTAAAGGATGATTAGATTATGAATTAAGTTTAAAAGAATGGCTTGATTATAAGATAAGAGGAAGTCATCACAGATTTTTTAAATCATAAATCAGAAAAGATCAAAGCTATATTAAAGTGATTAATGCTATTTCCAAATATTGTTAAAATTCAAATTTATTTACAAAAGGGGTTTTGGGGTTTTGGGG